TTTTTAAACAAATTAGTACGTGTTCAGAGATTTAGTACTGTCATCTATTGGTTTATCAAAAAGATCAATGACTTTCCTTTTCATCAACGACAATAAAAGAAATAATAATTTGTACTCAACATTTATTTCTCCCTTACATTGTCGGAATGAATGTTTGATCAAAATCAAGAAGCAGAACTTTCGGTAGAAAATGAAGTATCGCTAAGAGCACAGTCCAAAATTGCTGAAACTAATATAAAATAAAAAGGTAAATAAGAGAAAAAAATAAGAATATTCAGATCTGAATAGTTAGAAGAATTGAAGTTTCTCAAAAGAATACACTTCATATGTGTTTTATTTTCTATTGTTTCATTCAAATATATTTTGTGAAGATAAAGAACAACATTATTGATAATCTGAGGAGGAGAATACATGTTAAGCAAGCAAGACTGATCCTAAAAAATCTTTCCGAACTCTTCCGGTTTTCAGGAAAAAGATTCGTAAATTTTTCGGATTTTAAAGTTGAAATTCCGAATTTCAATTTTAGCATCTGGCAATACTGATTCAGACCCAGACCCAAACCTAGACACCCACACCCAAAATCACTCGGTTGTTATTGCGTCCATTCTTGATTAATCATTGAAAAATATACTTTTCCTTGACAATCATTAAATCTACATTGTTGTTGAGATATTTCTATGCAAAGCTTATTGCTGTTCAAGCAATAGAACAAATTGAAATTGTAAACTCGAAATTATTCAATATTTAAAAATCAGTTAACTTCAAACATATGCATAGACAAATTATCTTTCGGTTCTAATTCCGAAAATATAGAAAATAAAAATATGTTAAAAAAATCTAATATTTTAAGTAAAAAAGTAAAACTATATAATATATAGCTTGCAAGACAATACTTAGTTTTTTTTCTGTTTAAAAATAAATAATACCATTAAATATCACGATTTCAAACAAAACTATAATAGAACATAATAGCATCTACAAACTCTTCTTCTACTTCTGAATTTTTTTGTTCTGCGGTTTCTTTGTGCTTAATAAGATAACCAGCATTTGAAATTCTTCCAATTTCTTTAAATCCTAATGATCTCCAAAGACGAACACTAGGTAAGTTATTTGCAAACACTACATTGAACATTGACGCTTTATAACCTAATAATGGAGCAATTTCAATGAAGGCTAATCCCATAACTTTACCGATGCCTCGATTTCGATGAGGAACCGATGTAATAAAACCCCCATTACAAATCTAAATTATAATAGATAGATTAAAATAAGAAAAAAATAGCTTATTACATGGGAACATCGACCAGGAAAGTTTGGTTTAATATAAAATGTTCCTAATATATTTTCTTCTAAGTTATTACATAAATCGATTGATACTGTTTTTCCACCATTAATAACAATGAAAACATCTCCTGATAAGAAATAATTCTTGAATTCAGACAAATTAAGTTGAAATTTTTGCGGATAAGTATTTCCAGCTTCAATTTCTTTATTTAATAAAGATTGTAAATAAGATATTAATTTTGATTCATCTTTGAATTGTTGTAGCAAAGTATTTAATGAGTGAACAGATACTAATTTATTAGATTTAGTTCTATATTCAATTGGAAGTAATGATTCTAATTTTGATGAATCACATTCTTTTGGTCGATCGATTTCTCCGAAAGCTGACAACATGATTGAAAATTAAATTAGTCTAATTTATCTAAAAATTTCTAAAGGCATAAATCAAAACAAAATGACTAAGTAATCGTATGTCTTGAGAATCGTGACCATTTTGTCGATTTTCAAAAAAATCGGTGTAAAATCCCAACTAATCGTATATCTTAAAGAAATCAGCGATTAAATTCGATTATATCACGATTATCATGTGATAAACAATTACTTCAAAATCGACGATTAATCGCAGCGATTAATCTTTAATTAATTACCGATTTTAGTAAACTATTTAAAAATTATTAATTCCCTAGAAATACTAAAATATCTATCTAATTATGAACGAAATCTACTTGTGTGTCTGTTTTTCAACATACTTATTGAGACTCGAAACTAAAAACCGAAGTTATTTTTGAAAAGAGTGTTGTCATTATGATATAACTGAGATTGAACGATTGTGAATCACAATCGCACTTGACTAACTTGAGTAAACAGGCTTAACTAATTTAACATTTTTCACGTTTATTTGTTTAGTTCGAATTTATGAGATGGCTTTTATGGCGATTTATCTTCTTCAGATATACTTTTCGATCGATTATTTTACGAACGCAGATTTTTCTTTGAATTAAATTTTAGATAAACTTCTCAATCTTCACCAATGTCAAACCGAAAAAAACTAATTTTATTTTTTCATATTTAGATCTTGTCATTACTTTTACAACATCGTTTTTTTTAGATTTATATTTTTTTTGTGTATTTTGGGTGTATAAGCTTCATTTACGAATGTGCGAACTCGATGAACTATTATGAAATCAAACTGTTGAGAAAATGTATTTATAAATCTGAACAATTTTGTTTTTCGTTTTTTTTTTGAATGTGTTGCGTTTTTTGGAGTGTATTCGTATAGTGTGCATTTGTTGCTGTTCTTGTAAAGTTTGATTAGTGTAAAGCCAAATAGGACTTCTGTTTTCTGCAATAAAAAGTTTTACAAAATAGATTTACGATAAAAACTACTTAATGCCTGCATAAAATTCAGATAAAACGACTCAAATCATGCCTACGATTGAAAAAAATAATTGGTAGTAATCAAGTGAAAACTCGTGGTTTATTGGAGAAATCACTAAAAGTATTACAAATAAATCGATGATTAATCACATTTCAGTTCACAATTATCATTTTGATAAATTGTGATTAATCGCCAATTTTTCAGTGATTTCGAGGGCATGGGATGCGACGCAAACCCCGCTAAGTCATATTTATAAATTCCTCCGTTCTGTAACCAATCCTATACATGCATATGTATATAGTAGTGAACAAAACTCTTTCCTCTAGAGAATCTCAGCCATCATAGGCGCCACAACCCTGAAAACTTTTGTGTACATACTGTCTATAATGTAGATCAGAGACAGAATTCTGTCTTGATTCCTTAGCTACTAGGATAATTATGATAGATGGCGCCTACAACTGTATTCGGTAAATCAGTGTAAAATTGAAAAGGCAGTTCTTTTTCAGGATAATAGACTCAAAACAAAAATAGGTACCATTTATCATAATGTTTTTCGTACTCAAGCAATCCAGACAGAACTCTGTCTCTGATCTACATTCTTGACGGAGTATGTCCACACAAATTTTCAGACTCTTAGGATCTATAATGGCTGAGATCCTATACGGCCGAAACTTTTGTCTACTACTGTATAAGAGTGTATATCTTCCTTCGTTCTGCAACGAGCACATGAACAGTTGCTAACAGTAACTATTGAGTACATTACCCTCTTAACAGTAAAGAGAATAAACATACACTTATGAGTGATGTGGAGACCAACGTAATGAAATGAGATCTAAAATTTAGCTGTATCTTGCTGCGTTCACTAAAAACCAAAAATAATATTGTTTAGTTGTTGTACTAATGAATACCAGTGCTGCGTACTGGTTACCGATATCGGTTCTTTTTACCATATTCCGATATAAATTTTATACTAATTCTTGTATTTTGAAGTTAATAAAAACAAAGTAAAATGTGAATACGTGTTCGGGCAGCGAAGAACAAAATAGTAACAGTAAAATCTGTTTAGTAAAAATAGTGACGGTGCGTACTAGTGAAGAATACAGAGGTGAAAGTGAAAAATAGCGAACATACGAAGTAGATAATTTAGAATGGTGAAATATTGAAATGACGAAAAACTGATGAAGCGTAAAGTTAAAGAAGAACAAAAACGGAAATATATCTAAGACCTAACCAACTTCGATAGTTATTTTTAATCCAGTTGTGGCATCTATTCTAGTGCTAGATGCACGTTTTCTCTTTTTCTATGTCTATTTCATCAAATATTTATCTTTTATGTCATGATATATACACGTTTGATTACACTGGTCGACGTTCTTGCCATCGTTCTTTCCAGATACTTGTTTTTCTTGGTTATCAGTCAAGATTCTTTTGCCATTTCTTCTATACAATAATCTGGCTTGAAAAAACAGGTCTTGATATTCTCAAGGTTATATGATAGAATCACCATGTCTATTCTATTTGTATTTTTTTCTTTACTCTTCTCTTTTTCTTTCCTTAATCGCTTTTTCTTATCTCTTATACTACCTAGCCATTGATGCACATCAGAATGTACATAAAGTAAATGACTGTAGAACGGAAAAGAAATACAGAAACAAGTATACAAAGTGTTTTTTAATTACCAGATGTTCACAGAAACCATCTTCGTTATTCACACCATAGCATTTGTTGAATCCATTTGTGAAGAACTTTCCTAAGAAGACTGATAAGGATTCGCCTAAGTTCTTTTTGAGTTTCATATCAATTAGTCGAAAAAAGTCGACTAAAAATATTAATTTGCAAGAATGACATTATAGAAAAGAGCGCGAAAAACTGCTCATATCGAGCATCATAGCAACCAGAAACGACCGTATACGGCGCCGTATATCGCCATTTCCATTTTTGACAGATCAAAAGGTTGAGGCATACGGTAGCCATCAAGAAGCTTTTAAAGATCTTTTCCAGCCTCATTAGTTTATACTCTGAGAAACTCAAGGTGTATGACGTATAAATAAGAAAAATATTTTTAATGATCTTCAAAGATCGTGAAAGATCCTAAAAGATTCTTTCTTAAAAACATCTTATTTTAGTCTAGAAAATATTAGCACAACGAGTTACACTTCAAAGAAAGATCCTTTTCTTTCAAAATAGAAACCGAAGTCTCAATACAACTCAGAATGACGAATGTTTCTGAAAAAAGTTTTTAAAGATCTTTGAAGACCATTAAAGATCTTTTTCTTCCAAACAGTGTATTTTAGTCTCGAAAATACCTCCACAATTAGGTATTCTTCAATAAAAAATCTTTTTTTTATGGAAATATACATTGTAGCATGGAAAATATCTAGAAAATTCATACCATTCATAAAAAGATCTTCATAGGTTTTTAACCCATTGAGTCTGGGCGACGTGAATTCGCGCCCTGATATTTTATTACCTGAATAACTTCAAAAGACATGGTCTGCTGATTATTTGATGACATGAATTGCATGGATATTTGTGCAATTAAGATTATTTGTATCTAGTGACGGCTGTCGGTTGTTTCTCAGTATTTTTGGCAATCAGCATCTGGTTTCATGAGTTAGAATATAATCCAACTTGGTTACATTTGTCGAGAAAGAATCGTCGATGTCAACAAGATGTTTCGCCTTATGAAAATTACACAAGAGTACCATTAATAAGAAAGATTCTGATCAGCTTATCGAATTTGATAAATATTGTAGAGTGCATTTTTTGACATAAAAGGTTATACAAGACAAACGGTGACCACCCCTAACTCATATATACTGTTTTTCTTTGTCTTTCTGCTATCGTACAATGACATCATAATCTCTCACTTCTGTTTTCATCTGTTCGTTAAAGAACGTTTGGGTATATTTTTATTCTCTCTGCGATTAATATACCTATATATATATATATATCAGTTTGGTTCCTATTGTTCAAACGAAAATGTAATTTAAACCGACATACTCCGGATCTTTTTTTGACATATATTATTTACGAAGCGAGATTGTATCCAACCAGATGTCTAACAAAAAATTATCGAACATATAATGGATTCAGGATCTGGCACTGAGTCTGAAGACTATTCATATGATGAAACTTACGATGAAGGTCAAGACAACAATGGTTTGGGAGAGGAATTCGTAGCCCTTTTGAAAAAATATCTACCACATTGAGAAACCGGAGAAAAGAGAATTTCAACCCTCGTCTGTTTAGTTTTGATTCAAGTGGTTGTGGATTATCCTCAACCATAAAAATCCTACTCTCGAAACACCATTTGCTTTCCTCGAACTATTTTTCAATCCAGAGCGTCTTGAAATGATTGTTGCACAAGCAAATCGATTTCATGCACATTATACACGGACAC